ATTCATAGGTAAAAAATCATCTGTGCCTACAATTTTCTATTTAGGATGATTTTACATTACAAAGCCAAGTTCTTTAATATAAACAATTATTTTGATTTTCTGTTCCTTCTGTGAGCTTTGCTTAAGTTTTTTCTAGAGTAGGAGGGGATGTGTCCATTTCATGTAACATTTAAATTTTATGGTATAAAATTACTTGTATCAATAGTATCCTCTGAGGATTTTTAAATATCTGTGGAACCTTTCCTGATCTCCTCTTATGCACTTGCACTCTCAATAATAAATGTTTGTAGTTTTTTTTCTTGATCATCTTTCTAGGGATTTATCAATCTTACTAGCTTTCATATATTTTGCTTGTAACAGAAAAGCAGAAAGATATAAAATCAAAGATCTAAGCTGCTACCTAAAGAATTGAAAAATACAAAGAACAAGTAAAGATTAAGCAGAAGAAAGGAAATAAAAAGCAGACATTAATGACATTTTTAAAAATTGAGAAAATTCAATGGAATCAAAAGCTGGTCCTTTGAAAAGATTTTAACGGAGGGAAGGAAGAAAGGGAGAAGGGAGGGAGGGAGGGAGAAGGAGAGGGAAAAGAGAAAGGAGAAGACAAGAGAAGACAAGAGAAGGGAAGAGAAGAGAAGAAAAACCTCTAGCCAGATAGATGAAGAATAAGAGAGAAAAGACACACATTCCAATACCAAGATTGAGAGAGGTTAACACCTCTATGGTCATTACAGATATTAAAAGGTAGTAAGTTTAGGGGCTTCCCTGGTGGCGCAGTGGTTGGGAGTCCGCCTGCCGATGCAGGGGACGCGGGTTCGTGCCCCGGTCCGGGAGGATCCCGCATGCCGCGGAGCGGCTGGGCCCGTGGGCCATGGCCGCTGGGCCTGCGCGTCCGGAGCCTGTGCTCCGCAATGGGAGAGGCCGTGACAGTGAGAGGCCCACGTACCGCAAAAAAAAAAAAAAAAAGGTAATAAGTTTAAAAAAAAGGTAATAAGAATGTATTATGAACAACTAATGACAATGAATGCAATACCTTAGAAGTGTACAAATACCTTTAAATACACAAAGTACCAAAGCTCAAAACTTGACCAAATTGTATATGAAAAAATATATAAAAGAATACTGCATCATGGCCAAGCACAGTTTATCCCATGAATGCAAGGTTGATTTAATATTCAAAAATTTATCAGTATATAATTCACTACATTTACAGACTGGAAAAAAATCCACGTGATTCAGAATATATAAAGAAGCCTTACAAGTCAATAGTAAGACAGAAATCCAATTTTTAAAAAAGGAGGTATGGGGGGCTTCCCTGGTGGCGCAGTGGTTGAGAGTCTGCCTGCCAATGCAGGGAACACGGGTTCGAGCCCTAGTCTGGGAGGATCCCACATGCCCCAGAGCGGCTGGGCCCGTGAGCCACAATTACTGAGCCTGCGCGTCTGGAGCCTGTGCTCCGCAGCAAGAGAGGCCACAATAGTGAGAGGCCTGCGCACCGCGATGAAGAGTGGTCCCCGCTTGCCACAGCTAAAGCCCTCGCACAGAAACGAAGACCCAACACAGCCATAAATAGATAAATAAATAAAGTTTTTTTTTTTTTTTTTAAAAAGGAGGTATGGCTAAACAAGGCAACATGAGGGACATCCCCGTGGTGATGGAAATGCTCTGAATCATGACTATTTCAAAGTCCATGTCTTGGTTGTGGTACTATACTACTGTTTTTCAATTATAGCTGTCACCGAGTGAAAACAGGTAAAAGGTACATGGGATCTCTCTGAATTTTTCTTACAACTACAATTATTTCAAAATATGAAGTATAATTTAAAACAATGGGGAAAAACTTCACAAAAGCAAATATATAAGCACATGAAAAGTACATGAAAAATGCTCAGTATCACTGGGTATTAAGAAATGATAATTCTAACCAGAATAAGATACCAGAATATATTTCACAGACAGCTAGGTCCACAGTGGATGTTTCCATGTAGAGAACTTTGTAAACACAGTTGACTCACTCATTTGTACTATTACACATAAAAAGGAAAAGGATAAAAGTAAACAGATCAACAAGAAAGTTAGACTCTAGAGAAAAAGAACAATTTGTTTAAACACCTGAATGTCATCTAGAATATCCTGAAATCCTTATGGAATGGACTTGAATGTTGACTGAATCTAATGCCTTCCCTATCTTACCATCCCTGTTTCGGCCGTCAGTAAAATTTAATTTTAATGCAAAATCCTGTGCTAACGTAAAATTGTTTTAATTACCAAATGTAATGAAGATACAAAAAAGTATACAAAATAATATAATAAAAAGTATATCCACTGTTAAATTATGTCAAATCTTAATATTTTGGTCAGATATGGTTCAAAGTTTTGTGTGGTTACTTCTTTTACTTTTGTTTCTGCTGCTGTTGAAATGAAAAGAATATTACAGACCTAGGGGAAGCCCCACTGTGCACCCTTCCCCATTTTCATTCCCCTTTCTTGCTCTGATATAGCCAGTACCCTCACTGTTTTACTTTGCATGTTCCACACACTTTCAATATTATAAACAGCGCTTTAGATGACCACTAATAAGCATGTCCTCTCTGCAAATGTGCAAGAGTCTTCCTAGATAACCTTGGAGTGAAATGCTGACTTGTGGGGTATACACAGCTTCAATTTTACCTGTATCCCTTAAAACTAAACACACACCTGTCTTATGACCCAGCAATTCTACTCTTAGGTATATGCCCAAAAGGATGAGTGCACATGTCCACCAAAATACACGTTCAAAAATGTGCACAGCTGCTTTAGCAAAAATAGCCCCAAAGTGGGGAAAAAAAGCCAAATATCCACCAAGAAGGGAATGAATAAATATACTGTGGAATATTCATACAATGGAATAGTACACAGCAATAATAACGAACAAACTAATGAGACAGTAACATGGATGAATTTTAGCAACACTGTTTTCAGTGAAAGAAGCCAAAATAAAAGAGAACACCCTAATTTCATTTCCTAATGCCCAGTAATAGTAAGCATTTTTCATGTACTTTGCATGTGCTTACATATCTTCTTTTGAAAAGTATTTTTCCAAATTTCTCCCCAATGTTTTAAATTATACTTTTTATTTTGAAATAATTGTAGTTTTAAGAAAAATGCAGAGATATCCCATGTATCCTTTACCCATTTTCCCCCAGTGACAACTATAATTCAAGGAGAAGCAAAAACTAATCTATTAGGAGGGAATTCAAAATGTAGTTTGGTGTGGGATATTGACCAGAATAGGGCAAAAGGGAGTCTTCTACTATGCTAGAAATGTTCAATAACTTGATCTGGGTGGTAATAATACAGGTATATATACATACATAGAAACTCGTAAGGTGTACTTTTAAAATTTGTGTACTTTGTTTTATACTTCAATTCTAAAATGTTTTTAAAAATCATACTGGTTTTTCAACTTCTTATCAAAAGAAAGGTAAATGCTAGTTTAAAACAAAAACTAAGTCAGTGCAAATATTTTCTCTCGTGGTACTTTACTAAACCAAAGAATCAAAAAATGTGTATGTTTTATCCTCTTTCTACAGTGTCAAGATCCCTTAAACCTTAGTTGAAATGATGGTCACACTACGTAGGAGGCAAAAATAGTTTCAAGAGGAACAACAGAGAAGAGTAAAGACGACATGAAAGCTCTGCTGAAGAGGAAGAAGGTGCCTGTACCCGGAGAAGCGTGAGACCCCTGTGGCCCCATATTCTCCCAGTCGACCCCCACACTAGACTGGAAGAATCCCTTCTCAGAAACTGATCAATTACCCCAAAAGAAAAGGCCTGCAGCGAGTAGGACGCCCAGAGAAATAGAATAGGTAGAGCTCATCACGCTGAAGAAGCCCTGCCCACACACAGAACTTGCAAGACCAACGTTTCAGTGCATGTGCCCCTCGGCAGAAACGGATAAGCAAGCATCACCACACATTTCAGGAAAGCCTCCAACGAGGACTAAGACAGGAGCCAAAGACGAAAATGAGACGGAGAAAATATGCAATATGTTTTAATAGCTTTAGAGGGGGTTCTCAGTTCTGCTAAAGTTGGGAGTTGCATTAGTGACGGGTATATGAATATAAAACAGGGCAATACAGAAAAATTAAAACATGTACAAGAAAGGAAATACAATTATCATACACTCCATCTGAGGGTAGAATAATAGTTAACAAAATCATAATAATGTAAAAGCTGAGTTAACTAAAAATGATAATAAGATGGAAGAAGGAAAAAGCGTCTGTGCTGGAAAGGGGTCTAGGAACCCAGAGGGAGCACTCAAGATGTGCAGGAGGGAGAGCAGTTAATCTCTAAATCTGAAAAATCAAGAAATAACAATATAAGCATGTTATTCAGAAACATGGAAAGAGCTGACAGCATTTGTCTTTGGAGAGTGGTAATCAGGTATGGGGTAGACATGGGGTCTGCTAGCTTGCATTAAAACCTAGTACTTCTGTGTAAGTTTTAAAACTATGTACATGTATTCCTTTGACACAAAGAAAATACCAAAGAGGAAGATAAAATCAGTTTGGGAATGGAACTCACAAGCAGGACTAAAATGTAAAGAGTTAAATTATACCACACACTATTTCACATTGTTTTACAAGACAATCTCCAGTGCTCTTCTTCGCCCCTATTCTTTCACTCATTCTATATAAAAGGAGCAAACCTGTTTGATAATTTCTGCCACAACTAAAAAGTGGAAATGGAGAGGAAAAATGATCTCACTGCAGCAAAAACATTTCTATCAATTACTAAAGAAACTATTTTGACAGAGTTTTGAATAGTAGCTAATAGTCATTCAAAAAAAAAAAAACAGCATCACTTCGTAAATCTAAAGAAAGGCACACCATCTCTAAGTCAGGCACTTGCAGAAATATCTACCAGAAGGAAAAGAAGGAGGTAGGGTACTAAGGGTAGTAAATTTTATGGAGTGACATGTCTGTTCTGCAACTCTGATTAAAGTGAAGGTAACTTACCACTTCGTGAATGGATCTATTGAAGCCATCATCTTCTGTAAGGATCAACAATACTATAAGGGCCATATAGACATGGTGTGAATTTCTTTCTTCCACATGATACAGAATCTCGAGAATTGGTAAAACCTAGTGAATAAAAATTTTAATTTACTATTACAATTACTTTATTATAAAACCAATGTTTTAATAAACCTCTATACTTTTATCATGTACCCTTTGCTTTAATTTCACAAACCAGCCTGTGACTGAAAGTACTTTCCATTTGTATAACTGAAGTACCACCAGAGAAAAGCATCCTCTTCTGCAAAGGTCTGCCGCCATGTAAAGGCTGGGTTTACAGAGACCATTTAGGCTCATGGTCCACACCTGACACTCAATAGAGGCGATTCGGCCTCCAGCCTAGCAGGAACTTACACAATAAGGTATTCTTACAAACAATGCAATATATCAAGCATTACCTTCTTAACAGCAAAGATTGTAGGATAAAAGAATTGTTAACAACAAAATCAGATCAGCATAGTGAATTTCCTACCAGTAACATATTTTCTAATCACAGACTCAACAAATTATAGAAGAAAAAGGAAAGGGAAGGACATCAGTTAAAACATTATAAAAGTAATCTATGCAAGACATTAAAAACAAAAACAAATATACAAGCCCCGCCTCACCCCATCCCAGCCCCCAAAAAAATCCCCAAACAAAACCTTTTAACTTTTCACTGGTGTTGTCATCATATACAGACAACTGTTCCCCTGCATGATCTTTTGTACCAACATCCTTACCATGGAACTTTCTAGAGCTGATGATGTCATGGGCTTTCTGCTTATTCCCATCATTTTCCTTAGGCTACATCATGCTCAGAATTGTCTCTGCTTATATTCACTCACCCATTAGTAAATAAGCCTTTTCTTTACAAGCTTTTACTCACATGAGCAGTACACTGTCACACCCAATTTTGCTATTTAAGCCAATGTTTTCCACATATAGCTGGTGCGCAGATGGGTTCGTTCATCACATTTTTTTGTCCTTAGTGTCACTCTGACATAGAATATGCTCTTCAAATAAATTCTAATATTCCATGTTTACTCATTATTTCATGTTTAATGCTGAAAAAAAGTGGCCACCAAATCCCTGGTGAATCCTGCTATCACTCTATAAAAATTGGTGCAGAGGGGACATTCCTGTTGCCACCAGCAAGCTGCCAGCTATTTCAGAGATGTTCACAATTTTATTAATGCATGAACAGTCCAACGTTATCTATAATTATGTATTTCAAACATGACATCAGCACCTTAGTGAGGCAGCTTACTTTTCATAGAAACATTTTTGTTTACATGTTATAATGGAAATCAATAATTGCCCATAGGAGTTGTTGTCTATGAGCAAAAACTTGGAACCAATTTCACTCACATAGTAAAGGGTAATGTACATTTATATGATATCTGGCAACGGTACCTTAAAATGACTATAACACTCCAGGAACTGAGTTCAGACAAGCCTTAGTGTCAAAGCCTGTTGAAGGGATAGGACACTTGGGAAACTGAGTTGAAAAATCACCCTTCCTTTTAGCCATACTCATCAGGAATATGCGACAACTGTGACCAGCTACTTGAATTTAGTGAGCAGGCACTTAGTAGCGGAAAGGAACCAAAAGGGTATAAAAATCTTCTTGACAATGGCAGCCAGTGCTTCTTGGAGGACTTCATCCAGGCTGAATCATGGGCAATGGGTGGCTGTTAAGGACCTAAAGGACAGGGAAGTTTGCTGTGCTGTGTGCTCTCCTGCTCTGCACTGTGACGCCATCTCTACGTACACTGTCTCCTACACTGTAAAACTCATACCTCTGCCTTTGCCTGGTGGCATCTCCCTATCAACCTCTTGACTATCACCTTTGCAACCAGGCAAATATACATATCCTCTTGGGAAAAGAAATTACTCTTCAAAATATTATAAAATATAAAACCATGTTTAATATGATACTTACAAGATTTTCCATATCTGTGCGAGCCAACATGTATGTTCTAATATTACTATTCTGATGGAGCAATGTATACAAAAGGAGAGTTGCTTGATCAGATGTCTGCTGTTCACATAGGGCCATATACAAACTGTTAAAGTTAATCTGGAAAGCATGTGGAATTGACGAGGGGAAAGGACTGCTATCTGGAATGTGGAAAACACAAAATTTTTAAAATATTACATCTATTTTCTAGACTGTGCCTGATATTAAATAATAAAAGTATTGCTAATGTATACAATTCAGTTCCCAGTAATTTTGTGTAAGTTGCTACATTTCAGGCTCAAAATTTCAATTTGTATTCTAAATTCTACCTAAAAAACAACTACACTAAAACATGACTATAGTTGATAACACAGTACTGTACATTTGAAATTTGCTAAGAGTAGAACTGAAATGTTCTCACCAAAAACCAAAGAAACGAAAACAAACAAAAACACAACCACACACGCACACACACAAAACACAAAAACCCAACCCAACCTAAACTCAGACAATTTATTTCTCCGTACTATCTAAACCACAGCTTTCCAATGATTATAAATATATGAGCAAATACCATGTAACAGAGTGACTTTCTTTTTAAAGCCAAGTATAAAACAAAACGAAGTCACGCAGTTTGATTCCACTACTATTTCTGCATTAACATAGCTGAATTAAATTGTCAAAAAAATATGAGCTTAAATAAATACAGCTATGGGGGTAGGCAAAAAAAAACAACCAACCTTTAATACATACAATTTAACCACAACATTGAAATGCTTTGTTGCCAAAACTAAATGGCCATGAGTCCTAAATAAAAATATCTAGAGACAAACAGAAAATTCTCTTGTAAGATAAGAGTTTAAAAGAAAAAAATACTGCCTTGAAGCTAAGTTAATTTTATTCAAATGAATTATCACGGCTGAAGTATCCATCAATGTCATCAATCCATTTATGAAGAAAATAGCTAGGATAACATATCATTTAGGTAATTTAAAAATGATACCAAAATCAGCATATGTTCAACATTAGCTTCTATAACAGAACATAGCAAACCTAAGACAACTCTTGGAAAACATAAAACATTTTTGTTTAAAGGAAAACTTAAAACTAATTGACTACAACCACTAAGAAACTTTTTTTTTAAAGTAGAGTTTCTGGAATGATGAAAAGCATAAATTACAACCCACATAGGGAAAATTCTTGATATTCCAAAACTGACATAACCCCTTTCCTACAGTTTACTGGATTTGTTTAAAAACGGAAGCAAGCAAGGTTAGGAAGTTTAAAAGGAGGTAAAGCTAGGTCAACTGACTTAGAGAAAATTATAGTCTCATCAGATAAAACACTGGAACATAACAGCACAAAGAGCTGATATTTTAATGTGTTTTGACAAGTACGCATAAAGAATTGTTTTTTTAAAGAACCAGAACCACTAGCAAAACAAAACAAAATTTTAAAAAAACACTGCTTTAACATTTCCAGAAGCTGTGCTCTTATGGAAAAGAAACGTGTGCCAACAAAATCTTTATGATAGCACAGTCCTATGTCTCTCAGATTTTCCTTTTTAACCTTTATATTTGTGAGAAGAATGCATCTAAAAAATGTCTTCAACTTTACTACAAAGTGCCCTCACTTTTCCTTCCACATTCAGAACATAGGTTATTTTTTCAATCCTAGCACTGTATTTTTGACACTTACAAAAATAATTGTTTTGTAAGACTGACCTATATTTTTGCAAAGGATGGCAAAAGGAAGTGTTGGATATATTGTGAGTATGCAAATATTACAGGATTTACAGAAGACTTGGTGGAGGAAGATGCTGGACACGCTACACCTCTTTACAATGGAAGCAGAATAACACAGGTTCATCAAGCTGTATTATACCTGACTACAAATGGAATACATATGTTGTGTGTCTATATGTTACTAGCTAGTAAGTGCTATGAACCAGCCATTATACTGGCAGCTTTATGTGTATTATCTTTTATTTAACCCATATGACAACCATGTCATTACTCTGACCAGTTTTACAAAGGCTGAAACAGAGGCTTAGAGAGATTAGGCAACTTTTCCAAGATCATCCCTGAGTAAACACAGATCAGCTCCTGTTGTTTTCACCACATTATACTGTTTCTTACAACAGCAGCAATAATTTAGTAAGTCCATCCTATGATAAATGCTCATTTAATTCTTCTAAGAACCTTATGAGGTAGAGATTATAATCCCTGCTTCACAAATAAGGAAACTAGTATATAAAGAATATAATCTGGGATATGAACCCAGGTCAGTCTAACCCTAAAGCCAATGTTCTGAATCACACTGTTCTGTACCACAGTCTCCCAAAAGATGACTCTCCCAAGAAGGTTCAACCCTAAAAAGTATCATTTGGCCAGAGCAGCAAAAGTAATAATAGCAGATCCCATATACTGAACACCTGCTATGTTGCAAAATCTGAGCTAATCATTTCAAAACCTTACCTTGTTTGGTATTTATACAAATCCTATTAGGTGATACCATCTTCATTTTACAGAAAAGGCCATTGAGGCTTATTGAGATTAAGCAAACTGTGAAAGGTCTCACAGCTTTGAAGTGACAGGAGTGTGACATGAAGTCAGGTCAGCTTGACTCCAAACCTTCCTTTTTTAACCCTAAAGTCACACTGTCACCAAGAACAGTACAGCAACGAGAACAGAAAATATTACTAGATACATGAGTTTTCATTTCTTATCTAATTGTTACAGACTCATATGCCCCTGCAAATAATAATGCCAGAAATGGCAAAGGCTCAACAAACACTGTCTATAAGAAACGTATACTAGAACAGCTCTGGAAAGGAACAAAGCAAAGAGCACCAGAAGTGTTAAAAATCTTCCTAGCCAATAACTGCACTTCTTACCCATCTTAATTATATTAGTGTTGGGTGTATTTTGAAAATCTAGCTACCATATTAATCTTGCTTTTAGACTATAACCTTTTGGTAAGCGATTACTGCTTCAATGTGGAGCTATCTGTGCGGGCTCTACTTCAGGGGTTTGGCAACTTACAGCCCACAGGCACCCCACCACCTGTTTGGGAAATAAAGTTTTACTGGAACCCAGTCATGCTCATTTGCTTATGTATTACCTATGCTGCTTTTATGCTACAATGGCAGTTAAGAGGTGGTGACAGAGACCACAAAAGCCATCTGCCCCTTTGCAGAAAAAGTCTGCTGAGTTCTGTTCCTATCTTTAGTTACATAAAGCCCTAAATGGAATATCGATTTTAAATTAAAAATTTCAAATAATGTATCATTTGGAGTTTTCCAGGTTAATTTCTATCCCTAATAGGTAGGACACGTGGATCTAAATTAAGCACATGCTGGCTTGGTTATCTCTGAAAGAAATGTAAATATAAATGGATATAAAGAACCACAGCCCTCATCTAAGATTTACTTGACCTTCCTGAGAATACACACAGAAAATTTAGTTTTTCTCATCTTTAACCAACATGAAAATATACAACTTGACAGTCATCTCCACAAGCGAAAGTACACAATAGGGGGTAAACAATACCCTCTTTCCTCATTAGAAAGACTATTCAGAGGAAAAAAAAATACCACAAACCTTGTGTATTCTTAAAGGACATGATGGCCTGTCTGTAGGGGTTTGGTGCATCTGCAGCATCTGTCAGGTTGGCCAGAACCAGCAGAAGCAGGAGACTCTGGTTGGCCAGAGGGGAAGAAACTTCTGGAGCAGCAGCCGCTTTGCTGCCCACACCGCCCAGTGTGAAAACAGTCCAGAGTCCAGCTTGAGAAGAAAACACACAATTAAAATGTGCTGGGACTAGGGGTAGGACAGGAATAAAACGCAGACGTAGAGAATGGACTTGAGGACACAGGGAGGGGGAAGGGAAAGCTGGGACGAAGTGAGAGAGTGGCATGGACCAAATGTAAAATAGATAGCTAGTGGGAAGCAGCCTCATAGCACAGGGAGATCAGCTCGGTGCCTTGTGACCACCTAGAGGGGTGGGATAGGGAGGGTGGGAGGGAGACGCGAGAGGGAGGAGATATGGGGATATATGTATACGTATAGCTGATTCACTTTGTTATAAAGCAGAAACTAACATACCACTGTAAAGCAATTATACTCTAATAAAGATGTTTAAATAAATAAATAAATAAAAATACAACTCAGCTCTGGTGGAAAACTACAAAAAAGAAATGTGCTGGGACTTGTAAGATGAATCTATTTCCGTGCAATATTCTATACTTTCTCACATTTTAAAGTTTGAAATAACACTCCCTTTTTTGATTATGAAAGTAAAACAAGTCCATAGTTTGGAAATTCTCATATTGTCCAAGGACATAAAAATTTTAAAGACTGTCATTCCCTGTTCCCATAATTCCACTTCCATTTCCCATAGATAACCAATATTAAGTTTCTTATGTATCTTTCTAAATTTTTCTTTACATATCAAAACATACACATAATTATAAAAAAATTTCACGTACAACTTTATACCAATATATTTGAAAACCTAAGAAAAATATTAAAATATCTAGGAGAAAACAAAATTGGCCAAAGAAGATGAAAGCCTGAATGGACAAATAACCTTATAAGAGTGTGAACCAGAGTCAAAGAGCCAATCCTTAAAAACCATCCAAGTCCAATTTTTTTTTTTTTCTTACAAATAAGTCTACCAAACCCTCAAAGTACAGATAATTCTCATACTATATATGCAGTGCCAAAGTACAGAACAAGAATCATAGCTACATACTCATTTGACAAGGCTAGAAAAATCTCCTTGATACAGAAACTGGATTAAAAAATGCATTTAATCACATTAAAAAACAACTTAGGAATAAACCTAGCCAAGGAGGTAAAAGACTTATATGTAAGGAGGTTCATCAGAAAACTAAAAATAGAATTACCATATGATCCAGAAATCCCACTCCTGGGCATATGCCCAGAGAAAACAGTAATTCGAAAGGATACATGCACCCCAAAGTTCACAGCGGCAGTATTTACACAGATGAATGGATAAAGAAGATGTGGTACACATATACAACGGAATACTACTCAGCCATAAAAAAGAACAAAATAATGCCATTTGCAGCAACATGGATGCAAGTAGAGATTATCATACTCAGTGAAACAAGTCAGAAAGAGAAAGACTATCATTTATGTGGAATCTAAAATATGACACAAATGAACCTATCTATGAAACAGAGACAGAATCACGGACATAGAGAAGAGACTGGTGGGTGCCAAGGGGGAGGTGGGGGAGGGGAGGAATGGAGTGGGAGGTTGGGGCTAGTAGATGTAAGCTGTTATATATGGAATGGACAGACAACAAGGTCCTACTGTGTAGCACAGAGAACTATATTCAATGTCCCATGATAAACCATAATGGAAAAGAATATTTTAAAAAAAGAATGAATATATACGTATAACTGAATCACTCTGCTGTACAGCAGTAATTAACACATTATATATAAATCAACTATACTTCAGTTAAAAACAAACCAAAAAAATAAGTGATTACTACACATCACAAATTTAAATTTATTCAAAACAATGTTCATGATATAGTTGGGAAACTTGAGGCATTTAATAAGCAAATCAAAAGTATATAAGAGGGCTTCCCTGGTGGCGCAGTGGTTGAGAGTCCGCCTGCCGATGCAGGGGACATGGGTTCACGCCCCAGTCCAGGAAGATCCCACATGCCGCGGAGTGGCTAGGCCTGTGAGCCATGGCCACTGAGCCTGCGTGTCTGGAGCCTGTGCTCCGCAACGGGAGAGTCCACAACAGTGAGAGGCCCACGTACCACAAAAAAAAAAAAGTATATAAGAAAGTACAACCAGTAGCCAAGTATTACTTGCTTTGGGACTGATTTGTTGTTTATCTTAACATTTTTAAAAATTTCCAGTCACTTCCTTCCACTCAGAGTATGCTCCATGACTGCCTACCCCTATATCCACCACTGTGTGTTCGAGGATTGCAAGCAAAGAAAAACACAATTAGAAAGTTTAATCTGCAAAAAAAAAAATCACAAAATGCTCTCCAAGGTAAAATATAAGTGTTTCATTTTGGGGGGGATTCTCTTGATTCTCTTCACAGTTGTGCATCTTCATTACTAGGAGAAATAAGAGTTGACTAGCACTGGAAAAATTTCACAAACAAAATTCTGACTCACTTTTAACAGAACTTAGTCTCCTTCCCCCCCACCCCCCTTCAAGTTTTTTCAAGAGGGCTGCAAAGCTGCTTACAATGTCAACAAATGAACATTTTATTGAGAAGCTATCCCACTCCACCCCCACCGGACAGACAGCCTTCCTTCCTTTCTCTGATAAATATTACTGCTATGAGGCCTTTCCTTACAGGGAGAAATGAGGCAGCCTGCCACTGCCTACATTGTAGTTTAAACTGGCCATAATACTGGACCAGAATTCTTCCAAAAGTTTGTTTCTTTTTGCTGATCCAAGCCTCTGATCTATGACCCAAGAATCTTAGTGGAACTGCATTTTCCTGTTGGCAAAAAAGTTTCTCTCCACCAAAAAAATAAGGGAAAGTTACAGTATATTTCCTTCTGTTCTAAAAACCAAATTAAGGATGGTCTCTAAAGTTTTTTAATTGTATCCCTCAGGTCCTCCGAATAAATGCTTAAAATAAAACTCATCTAACTAAAACTAAAAAAAGCACTGAAATTAACTAAAAGAAAAAATCTAGTGTTGATGATTCCACCTTTTAAAAGTAGTGACTCAAGATTATTTATCCTTAACAATAAAAATGTGAGAAAAATATAAAATATGACAAACTGAAACATCAATAAAATAATAACCAAAGGAAAAAGAACTCTCATTTTAAGAAATTCTGAACTCAAAAGTAAACTATTAAGACAACGAAATTAAGGTAAATTACTGTTTTTTATATTACTAAACATGCCACTTGCCACTATAACTGATTTCTTGTATCTAAAAAATACATTACAGAACACTAATTATTCAAGCAAAACTATACAAAAAAATACATGATAACATACTATACTGTCATCCATAGTTATAAAACGCTGCTAAAGGGGTCATACTCATATATTTTGAGACTGTAATACTGTAACAAAACAGAGACCATGAAGAAATTAAGGAGAAAGCAGGTCAGCTATTACAAATACTTACGAAAATTCTGCTAGAGACATTTCAATTAACACAGATAAAAGGGTAATCAGTCAATAAATAGGTAGTGAGTGCCTAATTAGGGTTAGGCTCTATGCCAGGTATAAAAAATACAAAGAAGAAAAAAATTATACTTTGTCTTTGAGGAGGTTAGAGAAAGGGGAAGCAAATATTCATACCAATTTTCATTGTCATAATGATCCAACAAATATACCTAACTCTTCAAACATCTATACTTTTCCCATATAAGTATAGAGAAATAAGGGAAGACAGTTTCACCAATAAAGTTACTGAACATGCATCCCAGGGCAAACATTGGGGCAGAGTAACTATCTGATCCCAATACCATGCTCTCTTTCCTTTCATTAATAAAACGCCCTGAGATTTAGCTGGGCAGAACTACATTTCCCAATCTTTCTTACAGGAAACTATGGCCATATGACTAAATTCCAGCCAACGGGATGTGACTGGGAGCAGCCCATGCGAGTTTTAGATTATGTCCTTAAAAGGAAATTATTTTCTCTTCAAATCCTCACCCTTCCCATGGGCTAGACAGAACCCAGGTAGAGTGGTGGGCCGACAGATTTGATTTTGTGCATGATTTTGTGATTTTGTGCATGAGTGGTGGGCCGACAGATTTGATTTTGAGGGAATGGCAAAACAAGACAGAAGAAACTCTGGTCCCTGGATGACCTCAGGAAGCAAACCTGCCTACACCCCTGGACTAGCTTAGACTTCTATGTGAGAGAAATATTAATCTTCTTTTTTAAGCCACTGGTATCTGATCTCTATTAAAAGCCAAACCAATATCCTAACACAATTATGTGTTATAAAGTTCCATAATATTATTGCTTGGTTAGAGACCTTTTTTTCCCCAAACAATAGTTTAAAAAAATTTTTTGCATATCAAAAATTTATTTAAGTTTTTAAGATAATTATAGATTCATACGCTCTTGTAAAAGAATGCACACCTTTTTATCCAATTTCCTCTAAGGGTAATATCTTACAAACCTATAGTACAGTATCACAATCAGGATTTAACACTGACACCATCAAAATACAGAACAATTCCATCACCAGTTAGGAACATTTGTATGGGAAAAAATATCTGATGATCACTAAACTTCTTTGAAGTTAATTTCTTTTAAGGGTCACATACCAGCCACAGAGGAAATGTACCACCCTGGATTAGGCAAAGTGCAAGAAACTGCATTAGACACTAAAGAACCCAAAGACAATGAGGCCCTATCCATGAAGTTCATAGTCTAAAGGAGAAATGGACATGGAAAAGACAAGCAAATAAATAAATGGTAATGAGTTTGCAGGGAGAAAAAGAATGTTACCTAAATGTCAGGATGACCCTGGAAGAAAAAACAGTTGAGAAATAACTCAGAAATCAATGTGTAGAACTGACCATTGCCTTAGACTTTTTCCAAGTTTACAATTAACCAGAGAAGCCATTCTACCTCCCCCCAGTTTTAAAATTTTTTCTTTCATTTCTTTTTCCTACTTTCTTTCTTGCTTAGAGCATCCTTCAAGGTCCAAATCAGACTCGTCTATTCTAATGAAGCAAAAACATGACTGCTTTTACAGCACTTTGATTATATAGCTCTCTCCAGCATTGTACTTACCATA